GATGACCCTTTCAGCAATGACTTCTCTGAAGATGTCTTCACTGTACTCTCATCCGATGGGAAACTTGACACTATTACCGGTGATAACGATCTGCTGCTTTTCATGCTAATACCATCAGTCGACAATACTGCAACCGATGATGGTGACAGCAGCAATGAACTTTCAAAAGACTGTCCAACTGTACTTTGCTTTGCTGCCACACTGGAGACTAAGACTGCTAATGACGATCTCTTGCTCTCTCTGCTAACAACAAAAGTCGACAATGACGCAACTGGCGAAGGTGATACTGGCAACGAATTTTCTAAAGATGCTCTCAATGTGCTTTCTTCGGATATCACAACGGACTCTATTGTTGCTAACAGGGAGCTGGTACTTACTCTCCTATGACCCACAGTGGACGATGGCAAAAGCAATGAAGGTGACACCAACTCTGATCTCTCTGAGGACAGCTTGACTGTGCTTTGCTCTGATGGCAGACTGGACAGACGTGAGAGACTGGACAGACTGGAGGCTACTATTGAAGATGACGATCTCTGGCTTTCTCTGCTCACACTCAAATTAGGCGAAAATGCTACCGACGAAGGTGATCCCAACATTGATCTTTCGGATAAAACTTCAACTGTCGTTAGCTCCGAAGTCTCACTGGATACTACTATGGAGGATGGGGATACACTGATTGCACTGCTCACATAAGAAGTCGACGATTTCACTACCAAGGATGGCGCTTCCAGCAATGACCCCTCTGAAGACGCCTTCACTGTACTCTCATCCGATGCCAAACTGGACACTATTACTGGTGATAACACTCTGCTGCTTTCCCTGCTAATACTATCACTCGACAATACTGCAACCGATGATGGTGACAGCAGCAATGAACTTGCAAAAGACTGTCCAACTGTGCTTTGCTTTGATGTCACACTGGAGACTAAAACTGTTGATGACAATGTCTTGCTCTCTCTTCTAACACCAAAGGTCGACGAGGACGAAAGTGACGATGGTGATACTGGCAATAAGCTTTCTAAAGATGATCTCAGTGTGCTTTCTTCTGATGTCACACTAGAATCTATTGTTGCTAACAGAGAGCTCCTGATTTCTCTGCTACTACCCAGAGTGGACGATGGCACAAGCAATGAAGGTGACACGAACTCTGATCTCTCTGTAGACAGTTTGACTGTGCTGTGCCCTGATGGCTGACTAGAGAAACTGGAAGCTACTATTGAAGATGACGATTTCTGGTTTTCTCTGCTCACCCTTAGAGTAGGCAAAAATGTTAGCAATGAAGGTGATCCCAACACTGACCGTTCTGATGACACCACAATTGTCCTTTGCTCCGAAGTTTCACTGGACACCACTATGGAGAACAGGGATACACTGATTGCACTGCTCACATCAAAAGTCGACGATTTCACTGCCGAGGATGACGCTTCCAGCAATGACCTCTTTGAAGAGGCCTTCACTGTACTCTCATCTGATGCCAAACTGGAGACTATTACTGGTAATAACGATCTACTGCTTTCCCTGCTAAAACCATCAGTCGACAATACTGCAACTGATGATGGTGACAGCAGCAATGAACTTCCAAAAGGCTGTCCAACTGTGCTTTGCTTTGATGCCACGCTGAAGACTAAAGCTACTGATGACGACCTCTTGCTCTCTCTGCTTACAACAAAAGTCAACAAGGACGCAACTGACGATGGTGATACTGGCAGCGAGCTTTCTAAAAATGCTCTCAGTGTACTTTCTTCTGATG